TGTTCAAATTAACTATGAATAAAGGAAATACAAATTAAATTAACAATGAAATATTATAGCACAATCACGAGAATGGAAAAATTAAAAAGAACGGTAATTTTTTTTGCTAGTAAGGATGCAGGCAAACGTTCTCTCTCATGCCTTGCTGTTAGAAATTTGAAATGCCCTAGCTTTCTTTTTTTTTTTTTTTCTAAGTGAAATTGCTTTTTTGTTTTGTTTTATTCTCTAGTTATAAATAATGAAACAGTCTGGTCATAGTAATTTTTTTTGTCCCCTCTCCTGTGCATGATGTGGGGGCCAGATTCATACTGGGGGCATATGCATCACCAGAAATTACTTTTGTACCCTCTGTACCCTCCCAATTATCCCCCAACCTGCCGCCCCTTGCCCCCCTCCCCTCAACTCCAATTTGTAGTCTCAGGCCAGGAATGTTCCCTCCCTCTGTCGGATCACGGCACTGCTGTGGTCTTTCTTTCCTGCCTTCCTTTGAAATGCCCTAGTTTTCTACAAAGCAGTCTGGCAACATCTCTTCCCTTTTGTAATTTTAAATGCATGCACATTTTGACCCATTAAGTCTGTTGCTTGGGATCTTTCTCACGGAAATGAAAGCATACAAATTGTAGCATTAACTGTTGTGAAGATGCTAATGGGTACAGTAAATAATCATTCATAGGGCACTAATTGATTGATTAAGATATGGTATAACCTCACAATGTTTCATATTGATTGCCTCTTTGCTTCATTCACTCATTAATTCCATTTGCTTTTATTTAGTGAATGCTACGTGTCAAACTCTACTCTAGGCTCTGGCAATGCAGTGGTGGATAAAGATCTGTGACTTCATTGACTTTAGTCTAGTGAGGAGAGAGACAATAAAATAAGAAAGTAGATTGACATTGTGTTAGATAGTGATAAATGCTACGAAGGAAAAATAAAAATAGTAAGAAGATGGGAAGTACAATCTTGGAGGGTTGGGGCACAAATTAAATGTGATAGTGTCAGGGAAGGATGCACCCAGCGGGTGTCCAGATCTGAGTAGCTGAGGAATCAGCAATTACTTGCCTGTGAATTTCTCATATCTATTCTAACAGATAACTTTCTTTTGGAAATCTACTCCTGATTGGCCTCTGGTTCTTTCAAGCCTATTAATAATCCTATGTTTAACTTATTTGATCTGCAGTCATCCTTCCTTGTCTACTGATCCATTTCACACAGGGTCAAATTAGAGACATCAGGAAAGCAATCTTTAAAAAGCTAAAATTTGGGGAAATCTAAAAATCTAAGCACTCCAAAATTCTTACCTTTATTTCCTGTGTTGTCCTACTCTTTGCCACTTCTATAAAACCCTGAAATATATTCCTATTCTTTCCATTGAACTGCAAGTTAAATGGTCTCGAGACCTTCCCTTTTCCACCAATCAGAGTTGTCCAAATGTTATATTTACTTGCAAAATATTATGGGCATGCTTGGAAGTAATAGCAATGTTCTGATTTTTGCTCAGCAACTAAGTGAAACATAAACATTAAAATACATATTTTGTTCTAAGTGATTCATTGGCAATAAAATCATATATCGAAGACTATAGCAGTGATCAAATTTAGAGATCTTACTGCTTCTCTCAGGCCTCAGTAATGTCTTTGTTTTCTTGTTTTGGCTTCCACTTTCATGAAGAGCCTTGAACCAGTCTCGTAGTCTGTTCGCCACTTCCCTGAACTCCAGGTCACTGCATGCTAAAAACAAAGAGAAAGAACATGAATCTTGAACAATAACTTAGCATAATGTCAATGCTATTTCTCAAATGATTTCAATAAACCAAAAGGAACAAAACTAAAGGAGGAAAATGTAATAAATGAGTGATTGTGCATCAGCTTTTTCAAAGCTAAAAATAAATACGTGCTTCAAACATAACACGATGTAATATAACAATAACATTTTATTTAATAAAGGAATATAATTAGTAGAATTCAACTTCCACTTCACTAGAATATAACACTTGGTTGAAGATTCTTATTGTTTACATGACACAACTTTAGTCATAATATTTATGCGATGACTACCTTTGATATCCTGATGTGGTGAGTCATCTGAGAAAACAAAGTTGAAAATTCAGAATTACTATATACATTTATTATTGGCCATATAATAAGTTATGATGTAGAATTCTTCATTAGTATGCTCAATATATGTAGGAACGTGAAATTATACATATATATTGTTACTGTTGAGTTTATTCCACATATATACTGTTACTGTTGAGTTTTCTGTGTTTGCTAAGCACAGGAAAAGGTATATTATTTGACATTAGTAAAGACTACAAAATATTTAAGAAGATGATATCATGTTTCCCTTGTAAAAAATATAGTATTAACAAACTTTGACATTTGGAACTAAAATGAATATCCTCTTTGTTTTTTTCTAAATGTTACTATTTACCAATAATTACATTGTTTAAAATAGTCCATGCAATAAGCAGCATTAGAATATATTATGTGTAAAGTAATTTGCTGCTAAAATATTTTGAAAATATTTTTTAAAAATCACTTATTTACTTTGTTTATAGGGCATTATTACTGCAAACCTATCTCCTGTGCACGTTGCAAATGTGCAATTTCTTCAACAGACAAGTATTCCATACTAATACTCTTCTTGCTCATTTTGTTAAAAATAATAACTTATTATTTTATTTAATGTAGACCATATGCATTATATTATAATATCTATCATATAACATAACACATTATAATGTAATGTAATACAATTCAAGACAATTTCATACACTAAAGGAAATAAGATCCTAGATTAAAAGAACCCTGGAGTACCCAGTATAGTATATGACCCAGATTAGCAAATCACTGTGACATTTCAGAACGCTGGAGACAAAAAAAAGAAAAAAAAATCCTACCTCTCTAAATACTTTACATATATTAACACATTTAATTCTTATAAATACTCTATGAGATATACAGTACTATTGCTCCCACTTAAAAATATTAGAAAACTGAGGCATAGATAACTGAAGAACTTGCCTGAGATCAGACAGTTAAGTGGCAGAGACAAGTTTTAAATCCAGAAAGTTAGGCCTCAGAATCCAACGTATTAATCACTACAGAAAACCACCTCAGTAGTCTCAAAGGAAATTAACAAAGTAGCAAACACCAATTTAGAACCAAGAAGTCAAGCATTTCTCCACTCAAAGCTCATAAACTTCCATTTCATTAAGTCGTGGTTGTAGTGATGTGAGATGTCCATCATCACAGAGATCTTTGATGTTAGCAAAACACACTATATAAACATATCTCCTTGACTTTAAAGGAATGTGTCTTCAAGCCCGATGTTTGATGCCAATTTAAAACAGATCACAGAGATCTTATTGAGGAATAGGCCACAGTACATGCTACCTCCACACATCCTACAGCAGCTGACAAGGGCCCGCGATAGAAGTTACTCAATAAGACAGGTTTTACTTTCCTTATTAGTTTTTAGAAAAGCCATTATGACACCATTATTTCTTGTAAATCGTGAATCAATCTGTCCTTGTCACACACAGAAAAGGAAATGCCTAGTTTATACAATACTGAAGTACTGTATCATATTATTTATAGAATGACATTCCTGCTTCACTGGCTACAAAACCCTTTGTTACAGAAAAACTAGTACAGATCAGATCAGAACATAACCAGTCAGATCTCCCCCTACAGGTGTTTGACGGCTATCAGTGATTTATTACAGGTTTTTTTCCCAAAACTCAATTAATATCCTTTTTTTTCTACTTTTCAACTGTCCGATTACATAAATTTTTTTCTAGGAAATATCTTACATATATACAGTATGAAAGGCATATAATGAAGTTTTACATTTGATTTTAATAACAAGCCTGGAAGGTTAGAGAAAGTATTATTATCTTTATTTTTTATAGACATGGAAGCTGGACACAGAAGTTAAATGACTGCTCTAAATTTTATAGCCAATAGTGAATGAAAACAGTACCTGGTACTCATCGATCTAGTTATATTTGCAGTCAGAAATGAATAACAGTATAATAAATTATAATATATATATTATTTTAAATTAAGCTTGAATAAATAAAAAGGTGGATTTCAACCCAAGGTTCCTCAGTTGTGTAAAATTATTAAGTAGAGAGTGGTTTTATGGAAAGCAAACTAGTGAAAAAGGAAGATATCTTGGAAATTTTAAAAGTAATATATATGTTTATTTTTATGTCTACACACACTTGCATATTTGACAAGACAAAACATGTAAAAGATAAAGCCAAAAAAATCTAAAATATAAATTAAGCACAAGAGAGGGAGATTAGACAGAAAAAACATAAAAGAAAGGATAAGAAACATGGAGGATCAGCCTAAGTACAATATCTGACAAGTTATTAAGAGAGATAACACACGCGTGTGCGCGCGCGCGCACACACACACACACACACACACAAAGATCTTTTAAAATTTAGAATATGAAATATAAAAAGATCATAAGAGTTTTCAAGAAGAAAACAAAAATAAACAAACAAGCAATAACAAACAAAAGATTATTTACAAAAGCAATCAGCTTGGTAGCCCCATAATCATTAGCTAAGATGGATTAAAGAAGCTAATGAATCAAGACTTCAAAGCCCTAAGAAAAGAAAATTTTAATCTAGCATTTCATATCTGTTCAATTATTAACTAAACAGGGCAGAATAAAGGCATTTTTAGATGTGCAAAAACTCAGAGAGTTTGCATTTCATGCCACCATAAAAATAGGCCACAGTGAAATGAGAGGAAATTAAGAAAGACAAAGGCATAAAATTCGTGAAAGTAGGACCTGCTCAAGGAAAGCTATGAAGTGACAAACTCAAACTAGCCATGTAGTTCATATAAAAATGGAGCAAGCTCATGGGCAGCTCAGGGAGGGCATCTGGAGGGTGGTGGGAGACTGATTTGGCAGCTTGGTGTCTGATCGACAGCTTGTAAAAACTTTTATTCGTCATAAAGGCAGCTGGGATGTGAAACGGTAGAATGCATTTAACATTGTAGTGAGTAATACTCTATTAAATGAGACAGAAAAAATGCATTTACACAGATATAATTTTAGCATTAATTCTCACTCTTCAGTGAACAGTATTTATATCATCACGAAATGGTAAAAGGTTTTGATAGACAACTTAATAAAAGACCTAATAAAAAATTCACAGAAGACTTAACAATGGCTATAGAATATAATGTAAATGTTATCAATTTTGGCAATGAATGGCCCGATTGTAACCACTAGAGGTAGGGAAATGAAAGTGAAGGCATGAAGAGCGAAGACTGGCAATTCTCGTGTCTTCACTTTACAAAATGAGGAGGCAAGATATACTGTATATGTAAGTAGAAACATGCAGTTAAGTGGCTTTGGGTGTGTGTTTGTTTTGCAACAAGTTTTTGCTTTTTAAATGGATTAAAGACTTAAGACCCGAAACTGAAACATTACTAAGGGAAAATATAGGTGAAACACTTCACCAACTAGGTCTGGGCACAGACTTTATGAACATGAGCCTAAAAGCACAAGCAGCAAAAGAAAACATAAACAAATGGGACTATATCAAACTAAAAAGCTTCCGCACAGCAAAGGAAACAATCAACAGAGTGAAATGACAACCTACAGACTGGGAGAAAATATTTGCCAACTATGCATCCGACAAGGTATTAATATCCATAATATACAAGGAACTCGAACAATTATACAGTAAAAAAAAAATAATAATAACCCAATTAAAAAATGGGCAAAGGAGATGAATAGAAAATTTTCAAAGGAAGACATACACATGGCCAACAGGTACATGAAAAAATGCTCAACATCACTAGTCATCAGGGAAATGCAAATTAAAACAACATTGAGATACCACCTCACCCCAGTTAGACTGGCTATAATCAAAAGGACAATGAATAACAAATGCTGGCGAGGGTGTGGAGAGAAGGGAACACTCCTGCACTGTTGGTGGGACTGTAAATTAGTACAACCACTATGGAAAACAGCATGGAGGTTTCTCAGACAACTACAGACAGATCTTCCATACGATCCAGCAAACCCTCTTCTGGGTATATACCCAGAAGAATGGAAATCATCATGTTGAAGGGACACCTGCACTCCCATGTTCATTGCAGCTCTGTTTACAATAGCCAACGTATGAAACCAACCTAAATGTCCATCGATGGATGATTGGATAAGGGAAATGTGGTATATATACACTATGGAACGCTACTCTGCCATAAAAAAGAATGAAATACTCCCATTTACAAAACAAGGATGAGCCTGAAGAAACTTGTGTTGAGTGAAACAAGCAAAGCACAGAGGGATAAGTACCACATGTGCTCAGTCATATGTGGGAGCTAAGAGAGAAAGAAGAAAGGAAAGAAAGAGCACAGTGGTGCGTTGGACTTGCAGAGGGAGAGAGCACACCTTGGGATACAAAGTGGAGTGGGGGAAGGGGCAAGGGGAGGGAGGTTGGAGCTAATTGGGTGGGGGACACAGGGTACAAATGCAATTTGTGGTAATGGGTATGCTGCCTGTATGAATCTGGCCCTCACATCATAGGCATGAAGGGTGACAATCAGCTTTGTATCTCATGAATATCCATAACAACAACAACAAAAAAATTACAGATGCAACCAATGGAAAACCAAATAGCTATGTAATCATGCATGTATTGGAAAGTGTTAGGAGATAAAATATATTCCCACTTATCAAAGAAAAAATC